CGTGAGTATAAATCGCAGTTTAAGCGTCACTAACTGTTGGTAGATTTAATTCGAGTAGGAATTGCCGAAAGGTTCCGATTGAAAAGAGTTAAATCTCAAGGTCAGTATTCCGCCGCTCTCCCAGGAATATTGGCTCGACATGTCTATCACAAGCACATAGAGTGACAACAATTGGTGCTATATGTTGTTCTGACAAATATTCATTATAACGTTATAACCAGATTTCTTAATAAAATTTAGCCAAAATTGATTGGTTTAGACAGATCTTCGTTATAACAAATGCGTTGACTGTAGATGGGACTCGCAAATCTATTGCAATTGTCCGTTTGTCCACCTTTGAGGAACGTCAAAATTGTTTGCGAGTTAACTAAATATCATTTTCACTTTCTGCTTGTTTTTAGTGACTGATTTTTTGAAATAGAATCATTCGATTTTTTACGCTAAACATTGAATTATATGGAGCTTTTGAGACATTAGGAAAAAGTGGCGATAATTGTTACTATATTTTTCTGACATATTTGTCAATACTTACTTTCAGTCTCATACCCCCTTCCCTCTACTTATATTTGTCAGAGAAATTAGCAAAAGCTGGTTCAGACATTGACACAGCAATTGTTGTGGCTTTTGACAACGAATTCACGCAATTTTAATTTGCCAAAAAACTTGCAATTAAATAAATCCTTCTTTGAACAACAAGAAATCCAAATTCTTCTCCTCTTGGAGGCTTTTTTTTAAGACATAAAGAGCATGCTTTAGACGCGTAACTTTTTTCTCCCCGATACTGCGAGTCTGGAAGGGTCAGAAACACTGATCGCACATTACTCACCTCTGAGTTGTAACTTGCGCTAGTCCTAGCTGAAACATTTAAATAATAATTCGAAAAACCTGATTGGCAAGGAAAAAATCCTCATAGCAATATGACTAGTTTACGATTACCAGTTTACATAAATGTCTTCACGCTTTATCATTTTTGAGTATCATAAAAATTTATTAGAGATTTTGCTTCGTTTCTTTAATGTCAGGAAATAGTTTTATTAATAAAATAGTGGTATCAGGCGGAACGTGCTCGTGCCTAATAATAATAAGTCAGTTTTGGCCTGAAATTTTCTGCCTTTTTTCCTCAATGTTCAAAATCTCTTGATCAGTAAGTCGGTAACCTTCTTTTATGAATCACTCTCGATAAATCATCTCACGTAATATTGGAAAAACATTATTATAACACCCAGTAAGATAATATGTTTCAGTATACAAACAATAAATACTTAATAATTTTATTTCACGTATTTGATTATTTCTTTCACTATATCATTAAATATTATTGTTATTTTTGTTTCTTTCATAGATTTCATAAGTAATTTTTCTTTAATATTAACTAGACGTTCCTGGAAAATTGGGTATCCTTGATTTTAAAATGTATGTAGCAATTTTTTCACCCAGTTCTTTCTTTCAAATACCTCTAATAATGTTGAAGTTTCTTGATTCCATTATGGATTTGACATAAATTAGTTTCACATATTAGTATTAGTATTGTCACAGCCCGTTTATGTCTCCCCTTTTGTTTCGCCTCAAAGTGAGGTTGGGATATAAGTGTACAGTGTATCTTATTGTATAATAATAAGGACATTTGTTTTTATAATGTTGGGAATATAATCGGGGATGAGATATAATTGGTAGGGTACGATCGTATTATAATTAGCATATTAATAGACATAATTCTATATTAATATTAATCATGTTATGACTTCTATTACTATTTATCTCAGTCAACCTAAACTCTAATGTTGGTTACAGTCCATTCTGGCATAATAGTTTAATGTTAATAAGTTCACAAATTATTATTATGCTGTTACTATTACTATGGAAAGACCTTTTCAAAATGTAAACACTTTAGCTCATGTAATACCCAGTTTTGTTGCCCCAAATTAAACTGAAACTTGTGCTATTACAAGGTCTACATGGTTGAAAATTAAATTATCATGAACTTCGTTGTTATTATTATGCTGCTTTTTCAATATTTAATAAAGCAGACACATATATGAAATCGGGATAAACCCATAATAATAAGTCGACTTTTCGGCTCGATAAGTCAGCCCCCCCTCCCCCCGTGATTTGAGCTTAACATCGTAGATAATACATAGTGAAGCTCGATAAGTCGGACACGGCGGGCTGTCCGACTTATCAAGAAATCCGACTTATTATCGAAATGATTCCGACTTATCGAGTTTCACTATGTATTGATATTGTACACTACGTGGACGTGCCTGCGTAACTGTTATTACCCATTAAATATTATAATATAATTATTATAACGCAGGAGTAATGTATCAGTAATCTCAGAAAAGACAAAGTTAGGAGCGAAAGTAAAAAAATCTCACAATCATGTGGTTTTCTCTAACACCCTTTTAAATGGTCATGTACTTTATTCCTTGTGAATAAAAGTTCCTCGCGATAGTTGTACTTAAATCTAATAATGGCGACTTCCGAAGGTCTATTACAATTTCCCTTCTCGACTTCAGTGTTTACGGCTATGATGAATGAGCTCTATGTTGCTGGCCACTCATCAATGCAAATCATCTTTCGGCCTAATTTACAATTTATCTTTGGTGATTTTGCTGAGACGAGCATACAATTACAACCGGATGGCATAAAAGAAGAAATCTACGAAAGTATGAAGGAATTGAAACAATTGTTGGATAAATTTCAAGGACAGTTAAAACAGCTGAATGAAGAGGAGGCAGAGGAAGAGGAGGAGGAGTACAGTAAGAGGATGAATTATCAGAATGTATGCGGGAGCAATTTGGATATTTACGATGAAAGCAAACTTATTTCTGAACAGACCACCTGGACAGCTTCTCATCAACATGCTAGTGAGACTTCATCTGTAAGACATCAACCTTCCCCTCAATGCACTGTTTTTCTGCAGAAGGAATATAAACCATCAAAAACTTCATTACTCCGTTCTCAACATTTAGGCCAACGTGATGATTCTTTTGGTTTATATTCACCCTATAACGATAGGCCACTGTCATTGTCACTTGAGGAACCCGTAAAATATCAATTTGACATGAATAGCAAGGATTCACAAGAAATGATTTATGAACAAGTACAGCAACCAGAATTTATTCCAGGAAGACTGTTTGGATCAGAAATTGTCTACAAGCAGTCACCGGAAATTAGTTCCCATCCACGAGACATGTTTGATGAGCCACAAGATATGATTGACGAGCCACAAGAAACTATTTACGAGCAACTGCAGCAACCATATTCAAAATACAATTCCAGTGTGGCGGAAAGAGGATGGCAAAAAGATGAAACACCGAGAGATAATTGGTTCCCCCAAGATCAATCTCGTCCCCCGCCTCCTCGTTACACGGAGGACATACCCGGACTCTGTCGTAGAGCATTATCCAAAGATCAATATCGCGAACTCTGTACATATCTCCGGGCAGTTTTAAAAGAGCCCAACAATTCCCGACCTAAAACGCCGGAAGTTGTCTCGCAAGATCAGTTTGTTATAAATTTTGTCGATGAATACCAAAAATACAACGACTTTAATACATCACGGTGTAAAAAACTTCGTACGCTTCATCGACTTGGTGGGTATATTCACGCGTTTCGAAGGATCGATGATCACATTCCAGTTCAGGAATTATCAAAGGTGTTGGGTGATAGTGAGGTTGCCATTAAAGATACCATCAAACGTGCTTCGTGGATGTTTGAGCTATTTAGGAGGTTAGGGAAGCTCGCACTGACTAATATCAAAAAGAATAGTTTAAAGTTCATTGACAGGAAGCGTACGAAGCAGTCAGAATTTGAGGCAGTTCTCACATACGTCGATGGTGTTCTTGACAATGTTTACGCATTACCAAACAATCAAACGAAAAACCAGAGATAATTTTTAATCTCTTAACTTTGATGAGTAATATACAAATTAAAGATGGTCGATGGAAACGCAACTGGTAAGGACGAGTTGACGTTACATTAAGATTGGAAGAAGGAATACAGAGGTGGGAAGCAATAGCAAAAAAGAAAAGATATAAGCTTGTAAAGGACGAGAACAAAGATAACAGACCAACAGAAAACGGGGTATTTAAAAAATATTTGTAGACGAAAGACTATAAACTCTTTTGGGCGAAAGACATAACGGAGTTTGTTTAAACAAATACAATACAATAAACAAAAATCGAAACGTTATTATACATTACACATAAAGAAAATTGTAAGATGCCCTTATGCTTAACTCATGAGGTAGAATCGGGGGCCCGAAGGCTCTTATTTCTTGGTAACTCTGTTTATGAGACTTCTGCAGACATTTTTAAACTTCACAAATTTACTTCGCTTGCCTTCACTTTTTTCTGTTGAGCTATAAGGTTCTGTCAGTCACATACATAGACAAAACAATAATTGAGAGTCAGGGTCATTCATCCTCGCATCTGACTATTAATTTGTAAGAGGAATCTACGCGATGCATCCGAACATAAGTGCTTCAGCATGCCGATGCAAAAAAGAGAAGAAAAACTAGCTACTACAAACAAAGAACGAAGTGAGATTGACATACTGGTTTCATTGGGATCTGCATGCGGCCGTTTTGTGCCTGAATTCCCATTTGTCGTTTGTACGTTTGCACTCGGACTCGTCCATAAATCTTGTGTCCCGTTCTTGGATTGCATATGATTTCCTGGTTTTTGTATATTGACATAACTCTCCCCACCAAACTCTGACTTTGAGTCTCCTTCCTCGTGTTTATCATCGTTATTAATTATAATTATTCCCTCATCTTCTTCGTCTTTTTCTTCTTCTTCTTCTTCTTCTTCTTGTTGTTGTTGTTGTTGTTGTTGTTGTTGTTGTTGTTGTTGTTGTTGTTGTTGTTGTTGTTGTTGTAGTTGTAGTTGTAGTTGTAGTTGTTCTTCTTCTTCTTCTTGCTGTTGTTGTTGTTGTTGTTGTTGTTGTTGTTGTTGTTGTTGTTGTTGTAGTTGTTCTTTTTCTTCTTCATGATCATCACTATCCACCTCTTCCACCTCATCGTCTGCTTTCAGCTCAAACCTCTCATCATTTTCCTTTCGCAACGACACTTTTGCTTTACCATAAATTATGTTTCCCTCCTTTTTCTGTTCCTTATACACCATAGGCAAGGAGCATAGCGCCACTAGCGCGCTCTCCTCTGCATCATCCTCGTCTAATTGAGCTCCTCTCATAAGAGCGTCGTCGAATTCGACACCAGACTCGGCGAATTCGATTTTCGCATTTGCGAACACCTTTGGACGGAAATACAGCACACGAATCAAAGTACGGATCATCTCATTTGTCTGTGAGAGCTTTTCTTGTTCGTCTTTTTTGTTTGTACGATATCTATCGAGAACGCGTAACATTTCCTCCGAGTTCTTTTTGATGAATGGATGGTTCGCATCGGTAAACGCATGGGTTCCGAGCAGACTGTATGTTTGTTGTCGAATTTTATCTGGGACCAAATCTGCAATATTATCGCTTATCTTGTTATCAGAAATGAATTGAGCAATCATGGAACAAAGAGTTTCGGTTGTCTGAGCTATGCCAAATTCGAGCGTGGATGTTTCTTTTTTTTGTGCGACAGCTGTCTTTTTTAAAATCTCCTCAATAATCATTCGTTGTAAAGCGGCTTTAAGCAATACCTTGTCTACGTCGCCCTCTTGTATTTTGTAAGGATGCAAATATCTATTAACTAACTTTGTTGACTCCTTGGAAGGTTCAATGGTTATCGTTGCGCCTTTTGTCCTGGCAATGTTGTCAAGCTTCTTTTCTAATGCTTGTATATGGCGTTTCAAAAATATTGGGTTATTGGGATCATCTTCTTTGAAGACGTGACTAGTTGCATCGCCGAGAGCCGATTGATACCTAGATGCTTCTTCCTTAAACTGTTCTTTCTGTTTCGCGAGAGTTTCTACTTGCTTCTCGAGCGTGTCTGCATGCTTTTCGAGCGAATCTACTCGTTTGCGCAAGCTAGCGTTGTATTTTTCGAGTTCGGTATTCAAAGACATGAGTTTATTAATGTTAACTTCTTTTGAAGCGATTGTTCCCTGCAATTGTTTGATTTGTTTTTTGAGAGCCTTCTTTTCATCATCGGGGTTACTAAAGCTCTTATTTCGCTTATTAACTTTATCATGCGATTGCACGTCATTAGACAATAAAGCTGATTGATGCTCGCTTTCACTTTCATTGTTACGTCCTGTCAAAAAATCCCTCGTATTCTCCGAGGCCGTTGTATAATTTGTAGGCGACAGTGCTCTTGTGCTCCGGCCACGGTCAGTGGAGTCGTCCGCACTCATACCGAGAGTTTTTTGGTTCGGAACTTTATTATCAAATAATTGTTATTGATGCTCCGTGCAGACAGGACGGAATGTAGGTACAATAATTATGCGAGCTGTCGTTATGCGAAGAGAGGCGGAGATATATTTAAGTTTACGCTCCTGGGAATATTGTCACGGGATGTCTTCAAGACAGATTACTATTTGACTGCTACATTTATTATTATGGAAGGTAAGGTCATGGGAAAGCGATATTAAATACTTGTCATTGTAGCCGAATACTGTGCGCGGACGGTTACACTGCGGAGGAATGTGATCTCCTATCATTCCCGGCATCAGCTGCAATTTTTTCCCTCTCACCGATAGCAAAAAGGGTGAGTTCTCTGCTTGACAAGCCTCGTTTGACAGCACCGAGTAGATGATGAGATACATGCTTTAACCCAGCTCATTTCGACTCATGAATGAGATAATAATTCAACTGATTTCTTTGTTTCTGAACAAAGACGGTAGTTCTATTAATCGATTGGAACCTAACGATTTTTCTTCTTCTTCTTCTTCTTCTTCTCCTTCTTTAAGCAGGCGAACGAGTCAGATAGAAGACTAGCATAAGGACAAAGCATTTCGGGAGTGATTGTCGACTGATACGTGCGATAGTTGAATACCTCAATTGTTCCTACAAAATACCAATAAACATAACTCTTGCATTGAATAGTTTTTGGTAATCTGTTAATTTGACTTTATTGTCCGGAAGACGTCATAATAAAACACTCGAGATGGTTTGAACGTTTTGCCACCCGCCTTAAAGTCCAGTGTCTTTACTGTTAAAACTGTTTGAGAGAAAAATTTTCTCTGAAAATGCTATAGTAATATTTTTCGCCAATTGCAATCATCGATGTAGACATGTGACTTTGCGTAGTGGGATAAAATAAAATTTTTCGTGCAGGCTTGACACTTAGTATTTCGTTGCAATCTTGAAAAGGTATGTCGGGCAATAGATACAATATCAGGAGGTCCATTTACAACTTTAAAATGCATTCCACATCGAGACACGGCTCTGTTTGATGCCCAAATGTCATAACGTAAATATTTCAAATATCAAGTTATCGACTAAACCCGCCTTTCCCTTCATTATATACTACGCTGTACTTATCGAATAGAACTTTCGAGCGCAATGGGTACGATATATTTATTCTACTATCTTTTTCCTTAGAAAAATTGCAAGTTAATGATTTTTTTCTTTCATTGATCAATCGTTAGCCAAGAGCAAGAACCATACAAATCACAATCAAAGTAAGTGCAATTTTTAAAAATCCAGATTATCTATTATTTGTGGAGAAAACTCATTTTATGATTGCATTGAACGATAGATCGCAAGGCTCATCGTAATGGTATTAAAAAACCAAAGAGTTACCGATATCCATCTCTCAAAGGGGTATGCCGTCGACAACCTGCTCCACCTAAATGTTGCTTGGAATATAAGCATGAAAACCGTCTAACAATTTTCGTTTTGCACTAGGTTGATCCCAAATTTCTTCGTAATCAACGCTTTGCAAAGAAGGTGAGGTTAATATCGAAAAGTATTGTCGTAATTTTACGTGTATAATAACTGGATCATTTTCTGGTTATAGGGTACCGTTGCTGCTCTGAAAGCTAAACGAGCTGCTAAGGCTGCAGAAGCCAAATAGAGATAATGGGAGATCTTGTGGAGACAAGCGATTTTTATTGTTCAACATTGTAGTCTTTAATTTTTATCACATTTGGATAATAAAAGTAACGAAAGGGGGACTCTTCCAACACAGACTTTTGATTTATTCGGGTCGTTACTTTGAATAATGTACTAATTTTATAGACATTATTATAATTAGCATCTTATATCGACTTTGACACCATGAACTGCTGATGTCAGTCACGAAGAAGCAAATGAGCGTTTGGGGGCTATCTTATATGAATTTACCGATGTATCAAAGTTTGGTTATAATTCCTATGAATATAAATACAACCAAAGCTTTACCATGAGCGGAACGAGATTATGTGTCTTTGGTGACCTATCGTGATCTTAATTGTAGATGGGATACTAGACGTGAGCCGAGATAGTTTCATTCTGTGTAATATACGTGAGTAAGATAGCCAAGCCCGATAAAAAGTCACAGTAACTCAACACGCTTCTTCTGAGAATCAATAATTCGAAGAAACAAATCATATGCACAGATTGCGGTAAACGATAACTAATAAAACACGATATTAACAATATTTATTTGTATATTTATATATTTATGTATTTATATATATGCATGGATATTTTTACATGAAGAAAAACCATAAATACAACCTCACAAAAATGAATCTATGCTATGCAATAGCAAAAAAACTTGCGTTCCTAAGGAGTTGATTAAACATCTAAAAAACCGAATATCACAATACTTGGAACACTTCTAGAGTTATGTATATTAGAGGGCGACAAATCCTCTTCATCCTATGTCCATAGGGTCATTATATCTCTATTCCATTTTTTATGAAGGACTCCGCGCATCTGCGCGAATTTCTCCATTGCATCGAAATTTGTACAATAGGACAATTCAACCAGTTTTAATTTGGCAAAAGTTTGATCCATCATTGGTTGAATAGCTTCTTCGGTAATATTTTTACAGTGTATAAAAGCAATAGTTTCCAAGTTACGACAAGCTGCTAAATCTTCCAACGATTGTACTTTTTTAAAATCCATATTCGCCATCCGAAGATAAGTAAGGGTACGAGCGTGAGCAGGTAGAACAGAGAGTATTTCCGTTGGATCGTTGCCGAGAATGTCACTATCTTCTCCGATCTCCACATTCTCGACAACATCCTCATCGGAATCCGGATTCCCGTCAATTCTTTGCTTTCCGTGAATACCATTCCAGATGAGAGATTGGAGTTTTGTTTGGGCTTGTATCAATTTCAGGGCTGAGCTCATGCTTCTAGTAAAGGGAGTCTGACCGAAATAATAAAAGCTGAAAACGATCTTGGACTGAATTGACGCGCAATGATATGAAGTGTGAAATGATTGAGTATATAATCAGTTTTCCAATTGACCCATTAGAACGCTTGTAGCCACGCATACTTACAATAGTTGTACATCTTTCCGCTAATCTACTCACGAGAGGAGTAATATCGTATGAGCCTCTGATAACCAAGATATTTATTTGTGCAATCCAACTCAAATAGTACGGGTCTAGGATAACGCAGTAATTCGGATTTTCATGGAAGCCAACCGAACGAAGTTTTTCAAGTGGTCTCCCATTAATCTTGAACTGTTTAAATATTGCACAAACAATTCGTCTTTGCGTATCAGGTGTATTCGTGATGGACGAGCTTTGAGGGGCTTGTTCGAGCCACTCTTCAATGTAATAAAATAACTTCTCCAATGAGACAGACCTTACGTACTCGCTATACGGGACATACGGGTTTTCGGGAAGCAATTCATGAATACCCAAGTTCTGCTTAACGTTGGGAGGCAAGGATTTTAACAAACTCTTGAAGATTTCCAGCTTGAAATCTCCATCAAAAATAGTTTCCCATAGCAACCGCAAAGATATTCCAGCCAATATCTTACATGTGAGGGACATTCGCATCAATCTGCGCTTACGAGGCCCCTGGATATAGAATTCACACGAATGGCTATCATATTCGGCCACAACCCATTGAACTATGGACTCAGCGACTTCCGCGGGAAGTGATTCAAATCTATTGTAACGAGGGAGCATATCTGAAAGTTAGGGGGAGAGGTAAAGGGGGATTATTGTAAGATAAATTATAAGACAGAGGGAGTGTAATGGTTAAAAGTAAGCAGATATTGTTTGAGTTGTGAAGTGACGAAGTTTACATTACTACTGGTTTGCGGACATAAATAAATTGTAAAGAAAAAACTTGTTTTGTACCAGTTTCAAAGATCCTACAAACATCATGTGACGTGACCATGGAATATTTGTTTTGATGTTGTGTCAGATGACTCAATCGTAATTTCAACCGTCAATCATTTAAATTTAATATTGCCTTTTCTCGACCCCCAATTTTCCGAAAATGTAATGAAAAAAAAACCAGACAATTCAGCGTGCCCCCCCCTTTTACCATTTGAGCATCAACTTTTATGGAAATGGTTGACCAAATTTAAATCGTTCTCGTTGACACAAAGGTCAACACATAAACAATAGAAAGCCGTTTCATCTCAACGACCTGACCACCGCACCGGTAATTCCGCGCCACGTGTGAAAGCATTCGATATTCATTAGTATGGGCTTAGATATCATTCACGGACATGTGCATAACTCTTTCGTTTAAATATAAATTAAAATTGCATTTAGTAATAAAATCTAGCGAAAAATATTTTAACTGTGTAATGTTTACAAGAAAATGACACTCGAGGTGCGATAACTGCGCGTGACTCGCAAAAAAAATGTTGTGTAAAAAATCGAGTTCCGCTATAGAACAACTTTTTTATAGGAGAGGTTTGGCTAACTATAAAAAGAAAGATGTATTGGTGAATGTGGTTACATAACCGACAAAGTACCAGTTTTCCACTTAACATTTCTAGAAAAGCATTTAATCACGCGCATATTCTGTAATATGCTAATTCTGCGGCAAATTTAATACCCGGGAATATTGCGCATTTCGCAACGAAGTTAATATGTTGCCTGTCCTACGGTTAGGATTAGCGTATCTGTTTAGGCTTAGCGTTAGAACGAGAGATCTTCGGTGACAAGGATCACAGGATTGTGAGATACTACTACAATGCGTTGTACCTCTGGACAAAGAGTAACTGGGACATGTGCTCAAACCCGATTCCACCGAAATAACAGATTTGGGGAATATTAAGAAATTTGTCTAAAATCATTAATGTTTAAATAATTGTCTCTATTAGAAGTCCGATAAATTATTACGTTGGTTTATTAAAGCTTACTGAATCAAACTCGCTATATCCGTTGTGCCGTTTCCATCATAAGAATAATAAATTATTGATGGTTATGCATATACCGTTCGCTCTGCGGAATTTTCGTTATAAACACAATACATATAAATAAATAATATTTATATATCAAAACATGTTATCATGGGCAACCATGTTGCGAATGAACTAACTTCCATTTGTACGCTAGTAGATAGTGATAGGGCGTCCGTTTACACTTGTGTCTCTAATCGCGCCCTATGAGTAAAATTATCAGGGCATTTTCTGTCAGGTATCGCGTTACAATCAATCTATTTCGTTCGTTCAATCTAGCATTCTCAGTGATTAACAGCACCAAGTTTATATACTGCAAGCCATAGCCACGTTTTGTAATAGCGGTTCGAATTTTTCTGCCCATTTTGTTGGTGTGATTGCTCATATTTCTACAACGTTTTGAATAATACAAAACTTGGAATTCGAAATGCTCCAATACTAAAACGCGTGAACAAGAAATATTATAAGTTTGTCCAAATATATAACGACAAAACTTGGAATGTTGCAGTAAATAAAAAAAAAAGAAAAGTCTCTAACTCGCAAAAGAGATTACATTCATGCGCACATTTTCGATTGAACAATTACATCAAACAATTACATCATTTTATCATCCTTGCTTTTTAACTTTCGCTTGTTTCCTCTTTGCTCATCTCGTTTACATCTCCACGATCATTAACTGCACTCCAACCGGGTCCTCCTCCGCGCCCAAGAGGCACTCTGGGGAAGTTTTTTATGTTGATCAGCATTCCTTTTAAACTTCTAATCTCATCTTTTACCTTCATAACTGGAGCATCTCTGTCTCTATCACCATATGGAGTATACGAGTATAGGTTTAAGGATACATATTTTGCAAATGCTGTTAATGAAGCATGAAGATCGTCTATTCCGTCGAGAGAGGCAGCGTACGTGTGATAGGATGAAAGAATAGACGTGATCGAAGTGAGATTTGTTGAAACAGGTGTTAAGCTCAAAGGACTCGGAGATGAAATTGAGAGTGTATGTTTGCTCGAGTTTAGTGATATTGGCGACGATATAGAAGTAAGTTTGGAATTGAGTTTTGTAAATAAATCTAGTTGATGTGCGTAGAGTTTTTGTCTGGCTGAAAGTATACTTGTCATTGATGGGACCACATATTTCTAAAAGAAGAAGATAGTAAACGTGTTCATATACGAAACAATGTTCGATTTTAACAAAAACATAAATTCGGCACATATAAAGTATTTTAGGCGCACCTTAACAAAGTATGCTAGCCCAGACGCGAACGAACCAGTGATGAACAAAACAATCACAAGTCTCTTCCATAGAGCAGTTCTGGGTATTGCTTGTAACTGATTAGGGTGTTGCTGCTGCTGCTGTTGTTGTTGTTGACGTTGCTGTTGTTGTTGGAGCATGGTGTATGTACGAGGAGGAACTGGTGGCACTCTTGTAGCTGCGTTCTATGAAATTAGTGGAACAATAGGTTGATCAAACCATTATCCTCTTACTCTTCCCATCTCTCACCCCACGCTCCATTCAACAAACCTCTTTCTCGACTCTCCCTACAGCAGTTTCAATCTCTTCATCAGTCAACCCGTTCGCTTTCAAAGTCTTTATTTTCCTCGACATTGGCATATTTTGCACATCTGGACTATTTAGAATAACAAGTCCTGCCTGGATCAGTTGTTCTCTCGGTTGCTGGGGACGTATCTGTGGAACAGAGGCGTTAACGACCGGGATTGTAGCAGCTTTACTTATTGATGTTGTCGTAGTGCTGTCTGTATTGCCATTCGATTCGTTAGATTTTATCTGAGGTTCAGGCGACGGTCTCATCACTTTGTCTAATGGAGTTCTAAGAGCTTCAGCCCGTTGTCTAGCTTCTTTTTGCTTTTCTATTAATTCTCGATGCTTCCGTTGTCTGTCTTCTGGCGATAGTTTGGGCTGTCCCAGGATAGTATCAATTGAATCCTTTGTACTATTATTCTCATCCGGTGCAGACGATGTCACTTGAGTCTTTTGGTCGGGCAGTGATGTATTATCGCCCTGCGTTCGATTGTCCTCTGCTTTTGTAACGTCATTGGTTTTATCATCTGCTTGGTTATTCGTGACAGCAGATTCATTTGATCCATTCTTTACACCATCTTTTTCAGCAGATTCGTTCATCGCTTCTTTTCTGATAAGGCATCAAAATAATAAACTTTTTATTATTACTTTGTATCACGTGTTGAAGTCTGACCAGAACGCTAGATGATAATATAACAATGCAAAGCTTCCCAAACAAAGCGCCTCATATATTCAACATTCCCACGTTTATGATTTGCTTTTTCTCACATTCTCGAGAACGGATCAGGTGTGATATCAACGAATTACAGGGATGTTATAGTAGCGAAACCATAAGTTTGTCGACAAAATAAAAAACCATATGTACTATGATGATGATGCTTATGGCTAACAGTGTCACATAACACGAAGCTTGTAGTTTGACTATATAACAACCGCCTCCGCAGAGGCATCACAGTATTACAACCAATCTCATTCGTTACAACATCGCTGATAAGTTGAAGTGACTTAGTTGTGATTTAATACATTGCAAACTTTGAAGAAACACTCTAAACCAAATATTAAATGCGTGTACATGAAAACAATAAAAAGAAAGAAAGTTTTTGAAATTGAGTTATAATATGATTGTGTTACTACTGCAACTGTTTTCTCTTTCCTAACAATACAAACTATTCTTTCAATACATTCTTCGATAATACTTTTCCTGATTATAACACACTTCCTATCAATTACCAACCAGAAAGTCTACTGCCATGTCAAAATTATAATTAAATTTTTCCAGAGCCTTAACTGCAGCCTCTCTGGAGAACCCCATATCTCGTAATTTCTTTACATCAGCCGTATCTTCATCTTCGTTACTTTTTGATGGAGGATTTCCCGTTTTAGTTTGTTTATCAGCCTCGCTCTCTTTCACGATTGCACTATTCTTGTCTGCGCCGTTTGTACCATTTGCAGCACTGTTTGTCAACTCAGCGAATGCATCATCAAATCCAAACGTGATATCATCTTTCTTGACAGCAAATGGAGATGTCCCACCAAATGCTTCATCCAAATTCGAACGAGATGTTTTGGTGTCGAATGTATTTGTGAGTGAAGGCCCGCCAGGCAATGAAGCAATATGTGAAGGGTCAAAAGGATCAAAAGCAAGTGGAGAGGTTTTATTTGATGCGGCAGAGGTCGCAGAGGGAGGTACACCCTTGCCCTCACTGCTAGAGTTTTTAACGTCACCTTCATCAAAAGTAAAACTAACTTCTCTGTCGAATTCACTCTCATCAAATGTGGCATCGAAATCAATTGGTACGGGGGGTCCAACCGGTGCTGCTGACAAGTCTTCAAACACGGAATCAAAATCGACGTTGGAAACGGCTTGTGAGGAAATCGCACTTGGCGTTTTCGTCGTTGCGGAGGGCAGAACAGATTCTGAAGCAGTAGAAGCCATTGGCTTGGCATCTATTGTAGACGTTTCAGGTGTAATAGGAGGCAGAGAAAACGCAAACGGCTCTGAAGATGGTGTGGACGTGTTTATGATATTATCCGCGATGTTAGTGACACTCGGTATTTCCGAATCGGAAAATATCGAGTCTGGAATGGTTACTGTAGATTCTTGTTTCACGTCACCGCTAGCTATCTCTTGTTTTACTCCATCAGACGTTGCAGACGTTGTTCCTTGATCCGAAAGGCTTTCTTCCTTTGTCATATTATTCGCCGTTTCTTTGTTGTCGCCAATAACCTCTGAATTGCTTTCCCAAACCACTCCTTCTTCCTTCTTGTCCTCCTTTTTGTTCTCCTCTTTCACGTCCTTTTCGCCCTCCTTCACCGCATTACCCTCAATAGTAAAATTGTCCTCGAATCCGAAATTTCCAGATTCGAAATCTTGTAATGACGGAAACTCGGTAGCAAATGCATCAGGCGTAAGTGTACCTTGATCATTATCTTTATCGCCCTCAAAGAATGCAGGACCAAACGCAGCATTAATGTTGGATTTATTAAGTGATGGTGTAAGCGTGAATTGGGCGAATGGATCAGCTGGTACCTCTTGGGACTTGAGTTGAGAGGTGGGTTGATCAGTCGGTTCTTTGATTTTGTCTTCAGTCTTGGAGACACTTTGAATATTATCAGTATTCTTCTGCAATTGCGTCATAGGGTCCGAATTTCCAGTTTCGAATGGCGAAGCCGTGAAAACTGAAGTCTCGAACGCATTAGTCGCGGTAACGGAGCTTTCCTTATCTTTCGGGGCAAAAGGATCTCCAAATACAGACTCAAACTCGCTTGGCTTTGAAGTTGCTATGGATGCTGGTTTCTCGAGTGCGCCCTCTTGCTTAAGAGTGCTATTGGTATTATTGTCATCTACTATCCCCTTAATTCGAAACGCGTCTTCCTCTAGATTAACGCTCTCTCCGACGCTCATCGCTCTTCTAGGCTCAATCTCTGGAAAGGAAGAACTCGATCCTTTCTGACTGTGAGTTAGGGAGGATCGATTGCTCGGCGCGTCAACAAATTCATCAAAATCAGGCTTTGACACAGATGAAGATGGAAATGGTGACTGTATTTCAGAGACAGGTGTAGATACAACACTTGATTGAGTGACACCATCCTGCAGAGATGATTGGGTCTTAAGAGCTTCGATTCGCTTCGTTTCCAAAGTGGATAACTGCTTCTTATTAATAGCAAGTACCCCTTTTTGCTGTCCTTCCTCCTTCTTTAATTTTTCAATCTCAAGTTTGATATTATTCGTATTCTCTTCCGTGATTCTAATCCGCTTTCTCAATTCCTGTATTTCGTCTCGATTTTTAGCAATTCCATTGGCTAATCCGTCTCTTTCGGCTTGCAATGTTGCGAATACTCTCTCTGCTTGGTTTAATTCACTTCTAACCTGTTCCAACGCAACAAGTTCTTTTCGATAATTGTTCTCTACCTCTTGTAGCGATTTCAGTTCCGCGTCGTGTAAAGTTCGAACTTGCGTTAGTCTTACCGACAGTTCCTGCTTCTGCTTTTGGAGAGATGATAGAGTCGACTCGAATGTTTCTTGTTTTTTTTTCATATCAATTGTGTTCCCTTCCATAAGGGATATTTGTTGCTGCAGTTTACCAACTTCACCGGCAGCTATATTTACTTGAGCAGGAAGATCATGCGAGCTGATTATATCATTTTCTGGTGGACGAGCGGATATGCCGCCAACCGAATATCTAGGTGATGTCGGTGATGACATTAACAAATCGAAATCGCTCGAACGTTGATTATCAGCGGCAGGAGGTATGTATAATGGAGGAATCCCTATCTGCGCGGGCGTTGGGCCAGAATTTGGTTTAGCTCTTCGCATCGATGGTGGAATAAGAGTCTGCGGTAAAGTCAAAGGCAATGCGTTTCCTGTCCGTCGCTTAAGGATCAAGTACATGGCTACGGCAAATGTATATCTGTCCAATTTCCCTTGATGTCCAATATCGGCTAGATCCCATATCTGAGCCAAATCATCCTGTGGTAATTTCGAGTTTAAGAAAAACGTGGCTGCTTGCTCTCCTGTAATATATCCTCTTCCCTCTTTATCCAATTGCTCGAACAATGCAAAGTATTTCGTTCTATCTTCAGGACTAACATCCCAAGCATCATCCACGAGTGTGTCAAATATGTCTGAGGAAGATGCTCTTGCTGGCAAAAAATTTATTTGTTGACTAATGCCCTGCCCAGTGTGTTGGGCAACTAATGGTGGTGGTGGTGAGGTGGAGGAGGTGGATGAACCTGTTTGTTGGCGAACAAGAAGTGGCGAAGATGTGCTTAATATATTGTTCGGCTCGTATGGCGTTCCACCGGATGCTGATTCATAGAGTTCGGGTGAAAGCGTCTGCGGTAGTGTGGTAAGTGTCCCATTCATTGTCTCCTCGATGAAATACATTGCAATAATAAATTCAGTCACATCTAATTCACCACGATTCTTGGTATCAACCAAATTCCATATTTGGGCCAATTTATCTATTGGCAGTTTTGATTTAGTAAATAACAGTTTTGCCTTATCACCTATATGGAACGAGAACGTTTTGTTTTTTTGTTGAAGAGAGAGAGAGAATTTAAATATACATATAAATTCATGAATTACCATATTCATTTTTCAAATTTGGGTATCACCTCCTAATAAGCCATCTTTAGCATCACATTGATCGAACACGTTTTTGTATTTCTTTCTTCTTGCTTCTGAGACAATATAAACGCCATCAAAACGAGGTAATGGAGCCTCTGAAATATTTAGATCATTAACGCTTTGATTAATATGAGATTTATGATACATTAGTCATCATCTACATTAGTCATCATCAACATTAGTAATATTGGAGAATCAATGTCCAATATGCGTGCGCTTATTCTTTATCTGTTCAATTATTACCTTTGCTGACGAGGGAAACGTCCGGCTTGCCCCCATTCTGTGCTTGAGCGATGAGTCTGAGAGCGGCACTAAATGTCTCCTTTGTAAGAACTCCTTTATTACTCGAATCTACAATCTGCCATATCTAAAATATCAAAGTTATAAGCAGATTTGTGAGCGAGAGGGCTGGAAGAATGGCTAATACAATGATTGTAATTGCCAGACCGTTTAACAATGTGTTAATATAAAGTTTTTAAATATTTGAAAAGTCAATGGTCCAATAAATTACTAAAGAACATTGAACCTTGATATGGCGCCTTTTTGATATATGTACATAATTGTCACTATTGCGTGTAATTTTATAAACTCATCGCCTCAACAGATCTCAGCTATTCTCCTTACCATAACCAACCCGACCATATACCAACACCAAGACCAAAGCTCACACCCTCCACGACCTTCCCACCTCACCTACCTCACCCAACACATTCTGCGGTAACCAAGACTTTGAAAATAATTTAACAGCATTACTTCCGGTAATAAAACCTTTTTTCTCTTCATCGGCTTTCCTGAACAATATTCCATATACGATCTTCTCCTCGGAGTTTAATGTAATGTCGAAGCTCATTTGGCTATAAGGAAAAGGATGAGGACAAGGCAAGGATGTCTATGAGGGAAATGCGAGTTAGATCTTGTTTATCGTCGATATAGTAATAGTGGTTAATACTTGATGACGTACTTTTAGTTCAGATTGCATATTAGTCCGAAACCGGGTAACTTTGGTAGTCGATGTCATTGGACATTGAATACATTAAATAGATAATTTGCCGTGCATATGATGTGAATAGACTTACTGGATAAAGAATTGTTGTCGAGCTCGTCAAAATTCGTGCGACATGACCCGAGAGTCACGAACAATATTGGTGGTAGAATGTTAAAATAGACATTAAAGACAATATCCATTAAGCATACATCTAATAAGTTGGTTATCTTTCGACAATCTTGTCGTTCTCTGCATCCAGTCTTGTGATCAAAGACCAAAGCACATCAACATCGGTCGATAAATGTAATTAATATTAAATCTCAGCAACAAATTCCCGATAATACGTAATGCTTTGATAATGCGCATATACATATGGCCCGGTTTTTCAATTACATAAAAAAACTCCGTTTTTGTAATATAAATATTAATATACACCATTTAATATATCAATGTCAAAACTATTTATCCTTCGTTGGTTACGGTGGCGATAATTATAGTAGCGATAATAAAATAAATAATCAAATATATATACCAGTATTTAACACTGTTTCCAAAGAATTAAACCGCAACCGTCTAACTCGCTACAATGTTTCTGATTGCCTCGCTTTGTTCATTTACTTGAGACGATAATTCCTTTTTTTCTAAACAAGCAGCCATAGCGGCCATTTCCTTCCATTCTTCATAGGTAAAAGATGGACTTGAAACAACATGAGGAATATCCACCTGTAAACGATCAATGTCTGGCGATGCCACTTCATAAGACTCAACCAGCCCGAGTTCGGATTTCCGGTCATACAATGGCGTGCCTCTTAACAACATTAAAGGAAAGGCTTTAACAGTTGGAACCTTATGACGTAAACAAAAGTCAATGGTCTGTTTGAAAGAAGTGAGCGTCTGGCTAGGTAGACCAAAAATGAGTGAAACCTCGCACTTAATATTGCGGTTGTGTATTTCGGTTAGATTTTTTTCAACAAGCTTCATATTGTTTGGTCTGTCTATAATCGCCTGCTCTTGGTGATGAATTGTCTGTAATCCAAATTCCAACACTACTTCTGCCGTGTCGCTCAATTGAACAATTTTATCCAAGAATTCTTTTTTTATCATTTCAATCCTGCATTGAAAAGCTATCTTTCCTTTGTACTTTACTTCTATTAATTTGTCCAGTACATCAAGATAATTAGGTCCAGAATTAAACGTATTGTCTAATACGGAAATATCCTGAATAATCGGATTTTGACCAATCCACTCTGCTTCTTGAATTATGCGCGAGAAAGACAATTGACGACGTTTCATGGTCACATCGGATTCCCGATGCTGGCAAAAAGCACAACGAAACGGGCACCCGCGTTGGGTTTCCCATCGAATAAACCGTTGGGGTGGAATAAGTCCGGTTAAAAATGGTGAAATTAACCCTTCCAAGTCTGCAACTGCAGATAATCCTAAATCTGGCTTTCCTGCGTAGTGCACTCCTCGAATGCTAGGAAAACGCTCTTCAGATTGAATTAGCTTTACAAGAGCATTTTCGGCGTATCCTCGGATAAAAACGTCGGCCTGAGGGTAAAATCTCTCAACGTCTTTCTTAACATAGCTTACTTGGGGGCCGCCAATTATTATCCTACCGGGAAACCTGAGTAGTTTTAACTCGGTTAAAATTGATTGTATAGCCTTTTCATTCCAAACAAAAGCTCCTATGGCAACAGCAGTTTGAGCGTGGGAGTGCAGCATAATAAAGTCTCTCACAGGATGAGGAGAAAAGGTAGGGGAATTGACCGCCCATGAACGAGCAAATGTTTCAATGCCATGATGTTGTAGGCTGGCTAATATTGAAGCATGACCAATAGAGAGAGGCGGATCTTTCGGACGAGTCCAATCAAGGGATATTATTATTAACTTTTTTTTACCGCTAGCTGACTCTTTCGTATAAACACCTGGGAATGGGTTGACAGGAGCAATAGTGCTGAACCTGAATATATTATTGTAAGTATGCGCGCTTGTTAGAGGGGTGGTACACCCGAATGGTTTTCTTAAGAAACCTTTAAATACTGTCATTATAGTTGTCTGTGCATTAATTCGTTCAGACACTATTAATTCATTCTTTCCTCGAGGAAAACCAGCGGACAGTTTTAGGGCTGCGTATCGGTCTAATATAAGGATAAGCATGACTGTGAAAGGATAAGCATGACTGTGAGAGCATAAGAATTCCTTAAAATATTGAACAGTGGTAGAATATCCATAAAAGGTAGCTTCATTGTATGCGAAAAGAACCCTTGTTTTGTAACAACAAACGTTTAAATAACAATCATTATTCTTACTGTAATTTATGTTGAGACGCTGTCATGTTAAACTAATGCGGCTTTTATGCGACAGTTACAACTAACCATGTAATCGCGCATCGTATGCTTTTGTATCAACATCTTTTTAGTGTTATTATGCGACAAGACATTTTGCCATTGTCAACAGAAAGGCGCATCTCTCATTTCAAGACATAGTTGAACGTTTCTTGCGGAGCTACGAAAGGCGGGGGAAGCAGTTTCAAAGAAATTATCTCGTAATTAGTATTAGTTATTATTATAGTGATGGAAACAAAAAATTTATCGGAAATGTGAGAATGGTTGCGTCAAAAAGGTACTCACTTGCTATTCCATTTGGCCGTTGCTACTGAAAAGTTGTTAACAAAATTTTCAGAGTTGTACGATCGGAACGTCTACCCAGGTATCAGTTAGTATTCCTCTTGTAGATATTAACATACCCTTTCATGATATATCCTTTCTCACGTGTTAATAAATCAGGTAATTAAAAAAATTTTTTGAAAAAGAAGTTTAACACCGGGTACACATATCGGGGAAATACGGTATCTATTCCGGTAAGCGTAATCTATGACCAATGATAACAAATCTGAGGTATAAGGTTGAAAGAGCGGCGGATAAAATATTCACAGTATGTCGTTAATTCCAGAAGTTAAAGATATGTATAATCCAGCAATTGACAACTTAGTTCAAGCTTCCCTAGAAAGTGAAAATAAACGTTTAAGACTTGAATGGATTCCTTGCTGGCAAATTACCGACATAACGTCAAGTTCAATGGACGCTATTCACTACGCTAGTCGCAAACAAACGTATACTGATACAGCTGCTATAATACTTGTCTTAGTTGGAAATAGCGAAGAATGTACACCATTATTTGTGAGCACTTTTGCAAGAATATGCTCACTTCCAACACACAAGTACAATAGTGATGATAGTCAGTTCAGACGATACTCCGTATGGCTTAAGGAACGCAACAAATTCATAAAAGGATTTACCAAGTTTGACGGAATCTATTACATGGTTGCTGATAAACGCTTTTATCATTGTTATTCTCGATATGGCTTCTGTTCCGCATGCGGAATACTCCGGTGTAGTCCCGTGTGGTGCTTTGTGGACGTAAAAAATTATCCAATGGATGGACTAGCAACAATATGCAACTCGATGAGTTTATAAAAAAATCTCAATTACAAACAAACTCAGCAAATGACGCCTATTTGGAATGGATTCCATCTGATTGCATCAAGCACATGGAGTATGGCGTACACTTGTATGGTTTACCTATGACATCTGTTGCTCATTACTATACAGCTCCTAATTTTATTCCACTTGAAATAACGGATGAGACGGACGATTCATATTATGACAAGGTGACTATTGAGTATGAATACAATGCATATAGTAATAAATGAATATTAACTTAATATAAATTTTTCCTTAGTTATGTAACAGGCATCCGGATATTCTTATCACAAATGTTTGGATTACTATTGGATTTACGTATGCTGCAAGTATTGTTTGATAAAACAGCATGATAGGATTGGCTTATGTTTGACATGTACACGTCAATTAGAACCTGAAATAAATGCATTCTGTTATCAATGTAAAACACCAAAATTACTCGATTGGACTACAGGCAACAAGTCTTTGGATTTATTCATTATGGAATCATGGAGCACTGTGAAGAATAAGTATGATGCCTATATACAATGGATAGAGTATTCCCTATTGATGAATGTACAAGAAATGACCTCATTATACCATGGATGCACGCATATAGCACATTGGTTAGAACCAACAACAAATAAATGGACAAAAGTGACACTCAAGCAAATAGGCAATGCTGAGTATGTTGATTTTCATCAGGTAAATTATAATATTAATATGTGTTAAAATAATGCAAATAATTAAGTATAATGATTGTATTGTTTGCTCATTACTCAAATAGCTGACTCAGGAATACCCGAGGATATTAACACCAGATAATATATGGATAATCGGAATCACTCAAGAGCAATCTACTCGGGACTATTATTTAGTTTTCTACTATGACATACGTGCAATATTGGACAGATATAGACAACTTAACAAACTTGTACAGTATATGCAGTATGATGACTTTGATGAACTTAAAGAGATTGGATCTGGTGGTTATGGGACAGTTTATACCGCAAAATATAAAAAGTATTCAGTAAAAGGGCATGTTCCAAAAACAATTGTACTTAAACGCTTCAAGAACTTTAATGAAATGCCAGAACTATTTATTTCTGAGGTAAGCAATAATTGGTAATATAATAATTAAAGTGATAATTAATCTGATTTTATATAATTTATATTTATCTAATAGTTCAGAAATCATACCAAGTGCACACGCTACAGTTTATTCCTTAAAATTTATGGATTTACACAAGACCCAGAAACAAAAGAGTACATTATTGTTATGCAATATGCTAACAATGGTAATCTGTTGTCTTATTTGGATCAGAATATTAACAAATTGACCTGGAGGATGAAATTCGAATATCTATTGAATATTGCAGCTTATCTGAAAGACATTCATAATGTGGGATTGGTGCATTGCGATCTTCATGGCGGGAACATAGTTTTGCACGACAATACGCGTGAGATAGACTCATTTATTTGCGATCTTGGTTTTTCTCACTCGGTGAATTCACATCAGCAAAATTCAACCATTCGAGGCGTTTTACCCTTTATTGCACCGGAAGTCTTCCATATTCACAAGTTTACGCAGAAATCAGACATATATTCTTTTGGTATTATTATGTATTTAATCGCCACTGGTGAACCGCCTTTTAGAGATAGGCAGTTCGACAGAGATTTATTATGTGATATTATGTACGGACGACGACCAACGATGCCTGATTCAGCGCCCGAAGAATACAAGAAACTTGCCGAGTGGTGTTGTGATGCTGATCCTGATAGGCGTCCAGATGCATGGGGAACCGTTGACCGCATCGAAGTGGTGTTAAAGAATAATTATAACAGTGACAAATGGAATACCATCTATTATAATGATGTAAAACCGTTATCACGTCTCGAAAAGGAGAGTAAATATTCTAGTAAACTCTTACCTACCGGAGATTTGCCCAAACCAAGAAACAGCTACGATTCTCATCAGTTACCTCCCTTATCAGATTTTAGTGTGCCAAGTTCGGATATTAATATAGAGTTAGGAGCGGTTGATGAAAAGTAAAGGAGTTAGTGGCGGTTATGTTGATTGAATAAACCCAATTCTTCCAATAAACCCGTAAATGTATGTATGTTGGTGATACACTTTGTTGACTTTCTATTTTAGCATATACTACGTAAGAAGGGCACCAATGCATAAAATATCAGTTTCCTGCTAATCTAATACTAATAGTATTCCCTCAATATAATGAATCCAATTATTCAGCGTGATTTGTCTGCTTAACTGTGATCAGGTCACAATTTACAGATAATATTTCGCAGAACCGGAAGTATCAGCTTGCCAATCTTATAAATATTCTTAGTTGACAACACTGCCCAACGTTGTGAGTAGCGAATTCCCAATTCTTCACAAACTTCTTTACAGAGTCTTTTGGCAATCCTGCAATATTGCCATTCGTAATGGCTCGCAAAAGTCGACAATGCGCGGGACAGTTCGATGGCATGTCATAGGTGATCTGAATAATATAATTTGCCCAATTAAATATTAAGCGACTTGTAGGTTTGGACCGGCTAATTGTAATCCCTTTTGAATTGTGCCAATCAACTTTCGAACAAGTTCCGATGGCACTCCAACTGATTTTGTAGAGGTCAACAAATGTTGTAATATGTGTCGTTAGAGTGTCCTGAGTATTAAGTACATTACTACATTCGAGTTTGATTCACTGGACGGCGGAGCTTTATTGTCAATTTCACGCCAATGCAAGGTGTGTTTCCAGACATTTTATCGTACTCAACCCAATTCTTTCCATGCAGTCTGCCAGTAAGGCAGATTTTTCTTGCGCAGTTCTTTACTGTGTTCAGCGTTAAATAATGGGTTAAGACATTTTATGACTAGAATGAAACATTATAGATCTCTCTCTAAATGCAAATCACGTAGTTTATATATATTATTACACAATGAATTGGTTATAATCAAATAAATCCCACACCACAACTTTAACATCGTATAAAACGTTCCCATATACACCTAACCTCCATAAAAAAACACAGTCGGGACAGCCCATCATAGAGTAAGAGGTGTTCTTTTATAGAGTTTACTCACAAAATACTATTGAACCAATCAAATATTAGTATTACAGTCAAGCAATACCTGTATCTTTATAAACATAGTCTTTTTCTAAGCAACTGCTGTTTTTTATATCATAAATTACATGTAATAAAAATTATGTATCAATGAGATAGCAAGGTCTAACTAATTTTCCAAAATGATTATATAAAATTTGCCATCCAATAAACATGCAATGCTCTTATGGAGGCATGTTCTTGTTCCTTTATTAGATAGTTCTTTTATGAAAAAAACTTACTAATAAATCGCATCCGTCTCATGAAATAATGTTCTTCATGAGAGGTAGTTCTTTTATAGAGGGTTCTTTATGGAGGTTCGACTATATATATTTTACTGATATACAAATAAATGCAATATGTAATATATCAACAAAATTTTTTACTAGCAAAATGTAGCGTTTTAATGTTATTTAGCTGTAAGTAGAAAGAAAGTTGATGTCTTGAGCGGGAGAGTAATAATATTCTTCCGTGTTATGTTACCAGCGTACTTCCGCTTTTATTTCGGTATCGGTGCAATTAAGACACCTGCTATTTAAATTACTCAATTAGTTATTCTCGCATGCTAATAGTCAAACAATTACTTCGAAGAGGAATTTATTCTTTAAATTTAATTCAGGAAGGAATTGGTATTTGGCTAGTCAATTGTTCATGTACCTAGGTTGACGCTTCCGTTATTCGCGTAATTGTGTATACCTTTCAACATTCCGTTGTAATCGATAGCCAACTCCTGAACACTTTTAAAACCAATTGGAACTAACTCGGTAACCGTTTGTCGATAGAATTCGACCCGTACTTATATTTATTTCGCGCTTGATAATTCGTCGAATTGTCTAAATTTAGAATTGATTATTCCATTAATGCATATTGATATACGCAGTAAAGAGAATGTTCTGCATATTACCAAATTAAGAACTAATTGAAAGGAATATCTTTTCATGTAACTTGCCAAGCGGATGCTGCGCGAATACAGACGTCACCGTATTATGCTGAATAATGAAGCGTCTATACGAACCTTAGCATTAAATGCAAGTACTTGTTGTAGATATGCTGGTGTGCTAACTTTAACATCACGTTTGTGCCATTATTTGAGGGGACGTAATTTATACATAATCATGTTAATAAAGCGAACGTTCGTTGTAAACAACGCTACAAGTCACGACACAAAACATTTAAACCCCAATTTATCAGAAGATGGTCTACGCTATAGTAGAATTTGAAGCAAGTATACTTGTGACCGAAATAAATACCAGGAACTCCGAGCATATAATATCGTTTAATACAACACGTGACAGCAATCCCGCCCCGAGAAACCGTAATAGTAATAAATTATCTTACAGAGAAACTTGACCCAAGTCGATTGATAAAGCTTTTCTCACTAGACATATTAATATATGAATGAAATCGCGGTAATAGAAAAAAAATAACATCAACAACAACGACAACAACAACAACAATAGTGGAAAGTGGTTGTTGTTAATATCAAACTGTTATTGGTCGGATTCATTATTTTCCGTATCTGTCAAATGATATCCGACACTAGCGCTAGTTTAAATTAGAATACCAAGCATTGGGCGTAAAATGATATGACGCCTGTTGCTGCGCAAAACACAAACGTATTTGCCATTACGTAGCCCAACCTTATCATATATAACTTACACATGCTTCCCTTTCCCGCAAAATAATAATCATGCCAACGATAAAGGTAGCTTATAACGACGAGGTTCGGCAGTTTGCCGTCTCGCCCCACTCGACATGGACAGAGCTCTCCTCCACTCTTCGGGCAATATTTTCTATTCCTCCCTCCACTGCAATCAGCGTTACCTATAACGACGAGGATGGCGACGTGGTCACCATGTCGTCTGATTTGGAACTTAGGGAGGTGTTTAATTCACACGTGTCCGATAGCGAGTCTATGAAATTTACGTTGAACATAGTCGAGGAAAGTGAACAAGACGAAGAGGACGGTGTTGTTATTCCGAATAATATCCGTCACAGAAACAGTGTCGGTAGTAGCAGAGAAAGTAGCGTCAGCGAGCTCGGCGAAAGAGGATGGGTGCTAGAAGGAATTGATGGACACGAAATTGTTGTCAAGAAGGATAAGGCGGAAGACGATTTGAGCAGTTGTGACGGGGAATTCGAAAATATTGACGAGGATAAGAAATCAGTCGATATTGAATCTAGGTTAGAAAATGGTGGATTATCCCAGGAGCATACGGAAGAGCGTGCTCCGTTATTACATGGTTTGTCTCGGGCTGAAGTCGACGTACCTTCCGAGGAAGAAAAGAAGGATTTACATGACATGGAGATTCCTCCGTCGTCTCCACCACCCTCCGCTTCAAACTTTAATCCATCTCTAGATGATCTAACTCAACAACTCCAATTTCTCGTCAACCAGTTTCAAGAATTCTTTACTCAAAACCCTCAAATTATGGACACCGCCAATAAATTGATACATGATGTTGTGGAATCGGTTAAAGGTGACGTGGAGACTTTTGGTGAATGGTTGAAGGACATGAAAAGACAAATCGAAGAAAACATCCTCAACGCAACGGATGTAAATGTGAATAGGAACAACGTCAGAAGTACAAGTGAAACCAGCCAACATGAATACATACCAACTTACACTCCACCAGCACGTTCTGATGCCTGTCGCGAAACTCCATTCTTGAGTGGATTACCCGGCAATATTCTCAGTTCGCAATCTACAAATAACGAGGAACGATCTGCTGACCAGGCCAAAGATGAACTTACTCGACAACATAGTCATCGGAACGTTAGCCCATCCCATCGTCATCATTCTCAATCTTCTCTTCCTTATCCTTCTCTTCGCTCTCCTAATACTCATAGTCATCCTCCACCACCTTCTCACTTCACTTCCGGCCCTTCAGACCACCCCAATCTGCCAAGCTCGTTTACCGCTCCTCCCCCACCGCCGCCGCCACCCCCGGTTCCACAACGCACAACACAAGAGGAGCAAGCTTTGCCAGGAACTCTTTCATACGTACATGAAATTTTCGAAAAAGCGGGTCCCCGTGCGGGAATAAATAACGGTGCGAACGAAAACACGAATGATAACAGGAATTATAATCCGTTCCACAATTCACACAAGCTCTTCGCATACCAAACCCCAGATGGCCAGATTCAATGTGGTCGCGGTTCGTTTGGCGAGACAAAGTTTGATCGCTCGGAATATCCAGGATATAGTGCTACGTCTTTTAGAACTGTTGTGAATAATAACAATAACAATAACAAGAAGAAGAATAATAACAATAACAACAACAATAACAATAACAATTTCGATGACGTGGATGAGACCAAATATATGAATAATAGATATTCTGAGCGTTCGGAGACCGAAGACAGTAACATCCAAGATTTTGCTCTTGCGCCTATTGATCTTCTTGACGATATTCGACTTCTTCGCGAGATGGGCTTCACCCAACCTACGCGCGAACTTGAAAATCTGTTCAGGCGTAATAATAATAATATTGATGAAGTTGTTTCTATTCTGGTTGAGCAGGCTGACAATCAGCACTAGGCGAAGAAGCAGAGTTGTAGCTGCTGCTTGAATGTATGAGAAATTTTATGTCGTAGTTGAAAGAAAGGTTGTGTGAACCTTTTTATTCAGGGTAGGGTGATATACTGAAAGAATATTGTTTACTCTTTTTTTTTTCTCTTAATTGTAAGATTTTAACAAATACCAATTACATTTTGAACAATAAATAAATAATAAAAATTATGTTATAAATCTTGATCAATGGTCTTTCAGGAAGTGATTATTATGAATTAACGTAAAATGAGCGTATGGGAATTTGCAAGAACGACGCATTACCCATTTCATTGTCATATCATCTTTTGTGGGCAATTACAAATCAACAAGCTTTGATTCAAGAATATACGGGTTTGGCAATGCCTCAGACATAGTGTGTAGATAAAGCATACGGTACTGTTGCTATTTCTAAAAGGTAACTTTTTCAATACATTTCCAGAGTATAACGACCTTTAGATTGCAGAGTGGATATAATGAAATCTACACCATTTTAACGGAAGTATAAATGTTAAATACGACTCTTAACTCAATAGTGTTAATAGCAATATGTCAATAGCATTGTTCATAATTTTCATATTTCACGTGTACATGATTATGACCATTACTTTTTTTTTTCATTAGCTTGTTTAAGGTCCGTATCCGTCTTCTCTAGCCCGCAGGCCATTCGAAATTGGATATTGACCTTTTCAAAAATTCTTTTCTTCCGGTTGCCCATGCTTTTTAACGACGAGTCTGCTCATTCCTGAGTCATGAAATCCCCACGTTGGCAAACCAAAGTTGCTAATTAAACCTCCATAAAACGTAAACCCGAAGATTTCTTTTGAAACAAGCATATCAAAATTTACCCCGATAATCCGAATAATCGACGTAACAAATATATTATTATATAAAGAAATCTTTTTTGAAACTCAAGTAATCGCTGATTATGATGATCTTCAGATCTTGATCGTTCAGTTTGAGCAAATTCTGCTCTTAATTGTTGAGTTTCTTGTCGAACTTCAGCAAGTTCCGCTCTAATTTGTCGAAGTTCTTTGAGAACTTCAACAAACTGAAGTTCTATATTCTTGTTAGAGCCATCAAGTCTATTTGACTTGATGTATTCAATCAAATCCGAATACAAATTTTGTTCATCTGTTAAGATGATATTGTATCCGTTTGACTTGGCTACTTTTGCTCTATCTCCTGCTTTTCTAGTAAATCTTTTTTTAAATCGGGCCACTAAGATACCAATAGTAAGTTCTTTATTGGTACCTGTAAAGACCCCTTCAAACCTTTGTACATCTTTATACCCTACGCTCCTACCACCCTATAATATATATAAAAATTTAATTTCTGAAAATAAATTGAAAGAAATAATAATAAAGAGTACTATATTATCTAAAAGTTTGGGGTTGACCTTGTACAAAAATCAAGTCAGCAAATAAAGACAATTATTCGATCATGCAAGCATCTGGGATGTAAGAGTTACAGTACCTTACCGTTTTTGTTGTAAGATCAGGTCAGACAAACCGGAATCAGTTATCTTTGCTATGCCGGCATGAATCAATATATTATGAGAAGACATTGAAATCTTGCCAATGTGTCTCAACCGGCTGACGTATAGCTCGCAAATTTTCCCCAAAACCGCTAGACTGAATGAGGGTTGCGGGAGGATGAGAACGACAATCAGTTGCTTCAACATGATATGTGAGGTGGGATTCGCGTATTTTTATGTAAAGCGATGACATTCGAAACTGGTTCTTTTATTTGCTCGTGTTTTGATCATATTCCCACTTTATTAGAGAAGAAAATAAACAAGCGGGAGTTGGCAAAGAACTCGTTAGTAAGTTGTCTCTGGTTCACTATGCATGTAACTCGGCGGCGTACATTCCATCTGTTACTTCCAGTCTATACTGCTATAAAAAAACAAACGTTGCTTACTTGCTTTCCTTGACTTTGTGTGGGAACAAGTGAAAGTTATAGAAAAGACCCGTGCGTGCGTTTAGATGTATCATTACGAGAGCCTTTTGTGAAATGTTCGATGACTGATAAACAATCAAGATTAAGATTGTCTGATTTTGACGACTGTACATAAATGGAACGGTCGTACAATGGGCGTTTGTATGCCATATATGGTGGGACAAATGAAGACAATACGCATATTTGTCAAAGCCACGTCTCGAAATGTCATCATTATCATGTCGTGATATTATTATTCATCATTATCGTGTCGTGATATTACTATTTTTATATATGCTAAATCCGGATTATCATATGAAACGTGTAATAAACTCTATGTAAGAACGCTTTCACTCTTTACAATAGCGGGCTGTGTTTTACTTATGACATAAAAAATGAAGCAGCCAACGCGCTTGAGGCTTTTATTCGTATGACTTATGCACTAAACATCTATTCCGTTCCAAGCTTTGTTGTGGCAACACAGCTATCGAGGGACGGAGAACAAGCCCGAGACTCTCGTTTTTTACCCGTTGTCATGCTACAGCGATCGAGAAGGGATATTTTTATGTGCTCATCGCATAACAAAGATGTTATTATTGAACAAGTTAAACAAGCACATCAGTCAGATACACGAGGCGTCTTGAAGATTTCCAGCGCTGACAGAACGTGCCGACGAAAGACGGCACTCTGCTTTACTACATAAGAAGGGCTCCGGCATTTTCTACTTTCGTTAACTTGTCGGTGTTCTTTTTATAAATTTATAAAAATGTTTCCGTACGAGGATCTGGCGGTCCACTATCACCAGCTTTTTATCTATAGTCCGAAATATTCAATTGCTTAATAACTCGCCAACACCGTTCAGCGTCAGTTACCTCCACTACCACCAGGTGTGGCGGCAAGACAAGGAAAACGGGGTGCGTGTCGCTTCGCGTGCTTTCTATTACCGGTCGGATGATGCTAACCTTTTCTGCAAAGAAGCAAGATGATAGGTTCAATGTAAGCCTTATCCTAATCAACCATGGATTAGAAGAGTGGCCCATTCAATGTCTAGGATATCATCGCCGCAGTCACGGTACAATCTACATCGAGCCTTACGAAGAAGTAAATTTATACTTTTATCGCACTGTAATCGCAAAACCTCTTCTTGGTAAAAGTCGATATTTTCTTTAGAAACAGTGTACATCGAACAATTTCTCGGTGCTTGTACAATTTATGGAAAACTGCGGAATAACCACCGAAGAAGGAGATACGAACCGTTTGATAAAAGGCTTGGAAGAGTCATAGGAGAGACTGATATCGAACGGAAAACCTACCTCATACAGGACAGCCAGACTCTCGAAGGCTAATGTAAACGAGTAAACGGGTGAACAAGCGACCTTTCTAATATACACCAATAAGTAGAGACTATGTGATTATTTTAATGTTTTTTTTGTAATAATAATAACAATAAAAATAATAAAAATTTTTAAAGTGTTTTCACAGTCCTCTCGTGATTCGGGTCATCTTTGCTGATCATATCCAGGTGACTCGCTAATTTTGAAATTTAACGATCGTTTGAAAAAAACCGAATTTGCCCTTATTAGACTCTATTTCTTGTAAAACGCTGGTCAGCCGCTTTGACCAAGAAAAAAAACTTAATTGATAATGTTCGAAGCATGAATTTATAAAATAAATAAGCCGTTGCTTAGTCAACGTTATCCATATTCAATCAGCAAGAGATGTACCTATTCAATGGGAGACATTATATACTGGGTCGCGCCATAAACATATTTTATTCGTACACTACATGAAAACGGTTTACGCGTTATGTGTAAGAAACTTTATCAAATATTACGAGCTTAGTCTTTGCTTCAAACGGACGGAAAGACTTGTCTGTAACCTCAATACAGTTTGCTACAATCTGTCGCAATGATGATAATATTATTATTAAGTGGTTTTGATCGTAAAATGCTTCGTTGAATCAGCAATAACGATAATAAGAGATTCTCTTACGAAACGATCGATCAATAAATATATACGGTTTGAATGCCTCCGCTGTGTTCGTATACACGTACAGTATATTCTATATCTGGAATAGAGATTTATCAATATCTCATCTAGTGTGTATTGCCGTAGATTTACAACAGCCATAATCAATTGTCTAGCTGTTATGTTAACAATGACACCAATGAAGGACTAACTAGTCAAAAACAGTATGTTAAACACTTATTGTCTTTATTGAATACACGAAAAATAACCCGTGAGTGTCAACCAACACTATTTCTTTCCCGGACTACGCGCGAAATGGCTAATTTCGTTTATCTTTACTACAAAATCATAATCACTATGGGCAAATGATCAAAATGTCTACATTTGGCATAAATTGAATTTCTATTTCGTTTTTCATGATATACAACTGTATCAGAAAATACTATATCACCACGCCTAACATTTTCAACAACGTTATCCTCGATTCTACTCTTGAGCTCGGCCCTTAGTATCATAATCTCGTTCATAGCCTCATCATATTTGACCTTAACATCGGCATTCTCAACCTCAAGCCCAGTAATTTGGACTATAAGTCTGGTGTTCTGCTGTCTAATATAGTTAATCTCCGATTCCATTTTCGAAAGCACTCAATAAAACAAGCATTCAAATAAAATAAATTTTTCATCAAAAAAGTTCGCTGAATTTTTGCCCAAAAAATTATGATGTAGCCCGTGATCGTACTATGATCTCGTATTTTTACATTAGCACTATATCTGTATATACTAGCTCGATTGACATTTCAGTATTTACATTAAAAATCGTGATATATAATTATAACCCATCGGAAAGAGGATTCCTCGGCCTTTAACCCCCATCAACCTGTATTGATAGAGCTACATTTTTTTCCTTAACAAATGTCTTACAAAAGAAGACTAAGAATTTTCACTATTTCTCATTCCGCTAATAAGAGACCAAAATTTTATAAATAAGTTATATATTCATTAAATGATAAATCGAACTATTTAACGTGAAGCAAATAATTTAAGGGCTAAGGATGCGAATAATAACCGAACTCGAATAAAATATTTCGAACAAGTTTTTGACACACTGTTTCGCCTATGTTACCTTTTGTAACACCTAAGTAGTCACTTGACTTTATTGTTCACTAACTACTTTAATACCACAATTCTTTATAGTTATTATGGCTGGAGGAATTCTGATACTTGTTCCAAACACGAGTGGGTATTACTTGGATCTTGGGCCATTTCTTCAATACATATAATATGCTTTATAAATGGTTTTAGTTGAAAGACGGGTTTGTAAGCCGGTTCCCTATCCCAGGCATCATCATGAGTACAATGGTATGTTGGCAATCGGTTTTGCCCTTTCACCTAGATTACGCGAATCTGTTGTGAATTCTCGTTTCTGAATGCATTAACTTGCGGCCTATAAGGTTAATGCTAAACATAATATAATATGTGCGATTGTCATGGTTCTTTCAGTGATAGTGATAAATCTCTGCCTCCAAATAACCTAAAATCCTAATCAAATCGAAAAATTGTTAAAGACATGGACTGAATAAAAGTCGATACACCTTTTGAATGCATTGTCCAAGTAATGGTGTATTATTTAATGTACCAATTAATTTGTTGTCATTTGTTGCTATTATTGTCCTCATTTTACCCGCAGGTGAGGCGGAAAAGCAAAATATCCCGCGATATAAAGCTCCATCATGAATTAGAGCACGAAAGCGTTTCTCCACGATGAAGCATGACTATTTGTCTCTACCAAAATATTCGTAGCAATAATATTTTTATTTGAATCAGTAATAACGTAATATCTAATTTACATAATTTTAAAGCGATCGGACATTTATTAGTTCGACGGAGTCAATTCGATGGAATTGTTGTGCTGGGCAGTTGCTCGAGTCATCATGCGATTTGCTATTTATTTACAAGTGTTTTTATAGTATGAATGTACTGACAGTTTGTAACGGTTATTGTAACGTTCACAAACAGGACGTTAAGTTGAGTGACTAGTAGTCTGTTTATAGATAGTGGCGCTCGCGATCAAGAATCAAAGGTCTGTTACTACTTTCGCCGAAAGCGTGCAGTTTTACTGATATCTTGTAACCTTATATTGACAAGGAATGTAGAGAGGTTATGCCATTATTATCGTTTCGGTACTTGCCTATCTATTGAGACCCGTGTGTACCAAATAAAACGAGACATGTTTCTCCTTTATTTTATCTGCCTTATTTGGAGAAGTATTTATTAATAAAGCATTGTATGAGAGATCTAAAACCTTCAAGTCCCATATTCTTCACGTTGACTAGAGTCAAAAGTATGAGCTTGCTTAATGAGTTATCGTTGTGTGAAGATTGGGTCATAATCTCCGGGGATTCAGACAGCATAGTAATAGTATACGAACGATAGCAATAGTTCAAAATCATAAATATTATTGCTTCCAGATAATAATAATGCGTGTCACATCAAGCATTAACGTTGTCCCAATTATTGGATTCCCAATTTCACCATTTCCCTAGATCATTTGCATTTAAGACGACAAGAACATAAGACGTATTAAATACAGAATAGAACTCAAGCAAAACACATGTTCATACTGTTTATTCACAGAGAGGACTTAAAGAGGCTTCAACCACAAAACGAGACTGTTACATAGATGGAGAACATTGTTCAAAACGAAATCAATGCCTGGTCAGAAGTCGCTTCCCAGCAACCTTCAGAAGCACGTCCTACAAATACGACTGACAGCATTATTCCCTCGAGATCAGAATCAACGATAATCACACAATCTCCCAACATTTTTTCTCTTTCCGCATCTCTAATACCAACGAAATCAAACCACCCTCAAGCTTCGTCAACGGTCGTTTTGCATCCCTCGGCCAATACTTCCATCCATAGACTCCCACGTGAACCAGCGTTTTCTCACCCTCTCGATCACGCCTTGGACGACCTCCCGTCCCTAACGACACACAAGTACTCTCAGTATTTTTCCAATAATTCAGATTCATGGGGGAAGGCGTCGTTTAAAAGTTTGGGTATTATGGAAGAGATTAAAGGCAGGATAGGAGGCAAAGGAGGGAACGGATCGTTAACGAGGAGAAGAAGCCTGTCAAACATTCGTGGTTGGATTACCGGAAAGGATGGCGGAGTTATGGGAAGAGATACCAGAGATAGTGTATCCTGTGGTCAAGAAGAGAATAACGATGAAGAGGCGAAAGAGGAGAATACAGAGGCGGTTCTTGTCCATGTTGTCAAACCAAATGATACTTTGGCTGGGGTTGCTTTATTCTACGGTGTAGAGGTTAGTAGAATACTTTCAACTCTGCAATTCACGAGATTATACCTATCATTACTTTTTTTAACTTTTTTGTCTCGTTTCTCTTTCGGTAATAGCTCCAAACTCTAAAACGGGCCAACAAACTCTGGACCTCTGACTCGATCCACACCCGAAAGCATCTCTACATCCCGCTCGACTCTTGTTCGGCACTTTCCACTTCATCAGTCATATACAATGACGACTCATCGATTACAATCCTGAAACCCCGACTGTCTGTCTCTGATTTATCCCGTCCATCGACGTCGTCCGTTTCATCTTCGCCTTCAACGCCGCGTTTGGGTTCAGAAGCGGGCGGTGAAGGAGAATTGAGTGAGTGGTCATCGTGGAGAAAACATGAAAGAGAGGTTTCGGCATCGGCTTCTACATGGATTGATTATGGGAGAGAAGTATCATATGCCAACGAGAATGTAATGCGTGATGACAGTAAGATGGATGGCGGAAATACTCCGCTAATGACAAGAGCCGAAATTCAAATCCTTCCCGTTGCCCAGTTATCATATTTTCCACCTCATCATCGGACATTGATTGCTGTTTCATCTCAATCATTCTCTGAAAATTCTTCTATGCCTGCACGTCAGGCAATTGTTTCACCTTCCACATTTCTAGATTCGCAATCGACCTTTCTTGGGGCCGACTTGGCCAGCTCGTCTCAGCCCCTGCAAACACCTTCGCCTCTTCCAGTAGCTCAGATATACAAATATTCTCCCACGATATCTTATCCTCTTCCTGCGGCTACAGCACCAAGCCATTCATATGGATTCGATAAAGTTCTCGATCAGCTTGATCTCATGGACGAGAGATATTTCAAGAGACGATTTGGTTCAATAAAGAACGTTTTTGGGAAAACAAGACAAAACGTACATTTTGATAGTGGAGCTACAGAATTAGTGGGCGCTAGGGAGAGAATCTAGTGTGAACGACGGTGCTAAGAGGGTGAAGGGAAATGGGAATATGCGGGCAATATGGGAGGACGATAGGGCTGTGTATGATAAGATATTCTTTGTAATCTTTTTTTCTTGGGAAGGGTGTGTCGGGAGGGGGTGGTTCACGTGTACATATTTTTTTGTCAACGATGTTATAGTTCACTTTCTGCACATACTTTAATCCGACATAGTAATAAGTTAAGAACCGGAAACTGTAGATTTTTAAATTCGTAGAGATTTTGATTAATAATATCTGTGGATCTTGTTTGACATCGATTAATTTAATGGTTAATGTATGCTCGCTAATATAGATCATAGTTCTATAAGAAAATCTCAATCGATATTAGTAAAATCTTATTCTTTATTTGCAAGGCAATTGTCCCTTTTTGTGAGTCTGCCTTGAATGTATCAAATATTTCGCAGGCATTTTACAAGTGTTCAAAGTAGTAAGGTCTATTTTCGATAAAATCGGACAGGTCTAAAGAGAAGGCTTCTGGTGCTCTCTTCTTCTTTGAATGAACTGCGTCTGTATTAATTTAACTCAAGCAAGAACAACTTCTTAATATTTGTGATAGCAAATGAAATCAATTAACGATTCGGATGATTCGGATACAATGAACCCAATAGAGGTTATTATTATCGTGACGGAAGATATGGAAGAAAAACCTCCCCAATTATGAGTCCTATTATTTCTCCAGTAACCGCCTCGGATATACTGTTATTATTATATTATTTTTTTTTAATCACGTTGGTGGCCTATATATCATGCGCTGAACGATGTCTATACAGAGAAACCTCTCTAAATGCACACTCTATAAAATGCACGCACTATGTAAATTCTCCATAAGTGCACATGAAGAATAAAGCCTGGGGTATCAATATAGTATTGAATGTCTTGAATATAATCTTTGTTCATACAGTTAGTTTCTGATAAATTGTACCATTGCCCCTCGCCTCTTTTAACTCTCAAATAACAAAACTTATAGCTAATCTTGCACAAGGCTATCCCTTCTGGCTAAAGATGATTTAGAAAAGCATAATGAAAACAACTCTAAAATAAAGTAAATTTAAGTATTTAAACAGTTAAAATCAAACAAGTAAATAAATTGTAATTAATTAGAGAAAAATGCTTGAGTTTTGCAATGTGCGTTTGTAAATTCTCAATTATTAAACGTTGATAAAGAAGAAAAAAATTCCTTTTATCGAGACAGCGAATTGCGAAAAAAAAAAAGGCAACCAAGAACCAAGAAAATAAAAAAATTTCTGTTCTGAGCCACACTGTTTAATAATTTCTCGGTGGAGTTATGCTATACGCGTGCATAAGTCGGCAAAGCCTGTTCCATGGATCGCTTTCGCTCTATTTTGGAGACAAATTACGCAGCCACACCAATTTCGGCTTCATAATCAATTTTTGACATTTTCTTCATTCTAAAATTTCAGGTTGGTTGATCAACAAGAAAATTTTGACCAATCATAGATGCTTTTTATAAAATGAATTGGTAAAGTAAAAGCGCACAGTCTTAGTCTGCTAATCAAAGACATACATGGGAACGCTACGATTCCTTCACTCTTTTCGGCCGCCGTTTTCCTATCTCTCTCCTTCCTCGACCAAGCCCGCTCTAGTCGCTTCTCTCTCATTTCTCCCTGGCTCTCTCACGCATCCACTTCCCGGTCTAACCAGCCCATTTCCTCGCCTACCTCTTTCACTTGCACAACTTCTCGGTCCCTTCCTTCTGGCCGCACCAAAAAAGAAGACATCACATTCAAAAAAACGCATGCGGTCTGCTAATAAGCAATTAAAAGATAAATCAAACTTTACATTGTGTCCCATTTGTGGGCAGTTGAAGATGCTTCACCACCTGTGTCTGAACTGTTATCGGGATTTTAGAAAACAACTTAAATTGGATCGAAAGGAAACAATACACGAAACAGGGTTGTGATCAACCGGCAATCGAAGACGTTGGTGCAGCAGTTTTTCTTTGCCAGCAGCGATATATTGTGTCGTCACTGACATTATCCCACGCTTGCCGCGGAAAACATTTAGTTTGGGAATATCCGCATCAAGTGAATTCTACGTAGGGTGTCTGAAAAGTTTTGACAATATATTTTTATCTCAATGATCTGTGCATCTATTAAAATAAAGTGAAAATGTTAGTAAAGTTCAAGTCTCGAGTGATCTAATATAAAAAATTTGATACAATTTGATTTGATGGTTGTTGAGAAATCTGCTTCAAAAAACCGTACCCTAAA